TAACAAATGTTTTTTTTTTCCAGGCGGAACAGAATGACGGTGAGCCGGTTGACTCCCTCGTGTTAATGAGGGAGGCGTATACCGACAAGTCGACCGGAGAGATTTCGGATGCCGTTGTGAGGGAGGTGATCGACTTGGTCGAAACCCAGAAGGAGGAAGAGATCCAACGCCTCTCTCAGCTTCAATCTGACGACGACGGCACTACTGGAGCTTCCCCCAGCCTTTCTCGAGTTCGAATCAACGAACTTGTTGAGTCGGTAAGATCTTTATTTTAATTAATGTTTTTTTAAATTTAATGTTTTCTCACTGTTTTAATTTAATGTTTTTTAGGCGGTTTCTAAGAAGAAAGGCCGTTTGTTTGGGTTGGCTCGTCGCTCCAAGTCTATTCCTTCTACTTCAGAACCGGCTTTTATTGATCCGGCAATTATGGAGCAGCTACAAAACAAGGATGACCGCATCGTAGCATTGGAGAACCAGAATGCCACAATTATTACCCAGAACGAGACCATACTTGCTAGAATGGCAGATCAGCAACAAGAAGTGGAGGAAACGAAGAAGAAGAACCAGGAGTTGCTGGATATGATGTGACGTCTGTTCCCGCATGAGTTTTAGTCGGTTTTTATTTGTTTTTTAAAACTTTGTATTTATACTTTTAAAACTTAAAATATTATAAGATGTTTTTTTTATTTCAATTTTAGTTTTATATTTATTATATAAATATTTATTAAAAATAATTAATTATTATTTATTTTATTTTTTTTTTAAAAATAGGAATTTCCGAGGAAGATCATCCCTCGGAATATTCCGACGAACGTTTCCTCGGAATATTCCGACGAAAGTTTCCTCGGAATATTCGGATGCCCTTCGCCGTCGGAATATCTATCGGAATATCCCGAGGAACCATCCGTCGGAATATTCCGACGAACATTCCGTCGGAAATATTCCGACGATTTTGTCCGACGAAGTATCCGTAGGGATTGTCCGATGGAACGTCTTCCCTCGGAATTTCGTCGGAATGTTGGTCCATCGGAAGTCGTCGGAATTTCGTCGGTGTGTCTGACGAAATTCCGAGGAAATATTTTTTTCCGACGAAATAATTCCGACGACCAATTTCCTCGGAATGTCGTCGGAATACGTCTATTCCGACGATATTCCGAGGAAATTGGCCCTCGGAATAACGCTGTTTTCTTGTAGTGATTCATTCATAAACTTTCGTATGATTATTAGCTCACGAAAGATTTTTCTAACGGCAGTTTACCGGCAGCCGATTCACCCTACCTTGAAGATTAGACATCAAATAATCATCTCATTGTAGGATGAATAAAACAAACAATCAAACAAAAAGAATCAGATCATCTATCTCAACTCGCGAAATCGCAAAAGAGTTATGGGACATCATCAAGCTTCAACAACAATCAACCATCGTCGTTTCCAAAACCTTTAAGTTATTTTTACTACAATATTTTGAAGATTATCCAATCTCATATGTGTTACCACGTATGAACTTGAGGGAGGGTATTGGGAGATCAAGAAGATCGACCTAATCTAATGGTCAATATTAGGATACATCAATATGTTAGAATAGGAAGTTTATCATCTATTCTATTAAAATAGAGTCATTCTTTTTATCTACCGATACAAGTTGTCATTTAAATTTGGAGCCTTGCTAGAATGTTACAAATAATATAAGTCATATAATTTATTGAACCGTATTACTAAAATTAAACCAACACAAGTAATGTAAAAAGACGACCTTAATGTAAACTACCTTCAAAATACAGCAGATATCTATGTGTATACCGAAAACACATATGTTCTCCTACAAATATGGAATATTTAAAAATAATATATATCATCAAAATATGGAATATGGAAATCTACTAATTATACTTAAATTAAACCAGTGGTTATTTATGGAATATAATCTTGGGCTTACTTTTATTTTTTGAACAAATTGTATAGTTTGGTTTTTGGGCTTAATATTAAGAAAAAACTCCAAAAAACATTGAATTAACTTTTCACCTTAAAAGATCAAAAAATCAATTATTATTTTCAGACCCAAAAGATATTTAATATTTTTAACAAAACAAAATTATCTATTATTAATCATTTATTTAAATCATGTACTTTAAAACATGTTAATAGATTTTTTATTTTAAATAACAATCACTTTGTTTTGATAAATTTCAATTCTAACTTTTAAATAATTTATTATTTTATTTTTCTTAAATAATTTACTGATTAATAAATGTAAAGCAGAGCCAAAAACCAAATCTAAAAACTAAAATCTGAAACCAAAAACTGAAAACACATATTATATTTTTTTCTTTGTTTATTTACAATATAAACTATTTCAATTTTTTTTTTAATTTTTTTTCATCTTTTCAGTTTTAAATTAGATGTTCGATTATTTGAGATTTGTTTGTTGGTAATATCAGTTCAAACTAACTCAGCGGGTTTAAAAATTAAAAACCCAAACCAAAAACTGAAAATGAAAAGTAGAAACTTAAAAACTAAAAACCAAAAATCAAAATCTAAAAATAAAAAGTGAAACTAAAAACTAATGAAAAACAATCATCACCATAAATTTTGGTGAACTGATTTTATATCAAAATATTCTTTAAATTAAAACAAAACCTAATTATATAAATTTTTAATCATAAAAAATTTCCGCGCTTTTAAGCGCGGGTCAAAATCTAGTTATCTATTATATAGTATTCCATATTAGTTTAGGAAATTATATTGACTTATCTCTACATAAATAATGCATCTTGTAATATTATTTTTATGAGAGTCTAATATAATTCTTCCATAAACACTTTTGTGTTTGTTACTCTCATCAATTTGTCATCAACTCTTCTCATATTTTGCTTTCAAGCAGCCATATCCACCTTCTGACTACGAACATCTTTCTGTTCGCGCTGTCCATCTCTCAGCGTTTCTTCCTTTGGCCCTAAGACTCTTAGGGTCGTTTTTGAATGGTAGAGGTCGAGAGGAGTGGGTAGCTACTGCTCAAACTCAAGGCAAAGCAAAGTGGAAATATAATGGAAGTGTGGAAACTTATGGCACCATCAGGAGAAAGTGGTCAAGAGGAGTTGGAGGCTTCTACAGAGATAATGGAAGAGAGAGAAACATCATTACAAGATACAGTTAAAGAGGAGATGGAAGCTTCTGCAGACATAATGGAAGAGAGAGAAGCATCATTACAAGATACAGATCAAGAGGAGATAGAAGTTGCTGCAGACATAATTGAAGGATCATCACAAGACCAGAAACAATAGCAGTGTGGAAAAAGTTCACATGTGAACCATTTCCCATAATACGAGGGTGAAGCTCGCAAACTCCACTTGTTTTTATCGTTTTCTGATATTGTAATGCTTCTGTTGTTACTTTTAATAGATTGTTAACATGAGACAATTATTATTTACCAGCACAGAGAATCACTGAAACAGAGTTGAAAAACAGAGGATGTTTCACTTGTGATCGGTGAAGACAGGATTGTCCATATAAATCTCACAGGGCCATGGAGGCCACTTAACTATATAGTTTTCATGAAATTCGGACAGAAAGCTATTCCCAAGAGCCCAAGCTCAGCATCAAAGTGCAATTCCTCAGTAAGATCAAGAAACCTTTTGTTCAAAGTTTCAAAAGCAATTTCATGCGGGAGCTCTCACCCTTTTGTTCTTCAGCTTCTCAGCAATTTCATGCGGGAGCTTCAAAGTTTCAAAAGCAATTTCATGCGGGAGCTCTCACCCTTTTGTTCTTCAGTAAGATCGGTCTCCCCGTTAAATATTAGGGTTATTCGTTTAGACTTTACATTACAAATCATATGAACTAAACCAGGAATTCTAACTCTAGTGGTAAAGGGTTTATAGCTGTGAGTACCGTCACCTGCGTTTGAATCCCGACCATTGGAAAATTAACATTTCAACATCGCCAGAGACAGAGGACCGACACGTGGCGAGTCTGGACCACTTATGTGGGGCCAGGATATCTCTGTATAATTCAAAAAAAAAAGTCATATGAACTAGGTATAGATCCGTGTGAAATACATATTACAATTTTTTTCTGTATGGAGAAAAAGGTTTAACTTTATATCTTTTGGTTTGATGGGCTAAACTTATATGCTAAAATTATGCATGCAGTACTTTTGGTTTATTCGGATAATAATTCGTTTCATATATTTTTGATTTCGGTTTATTTGGTTCAGTTGAAATCCCATTAAAATGAATTTAACCGAATATATCTTTTTTTTTATGATTTAATTGCCATTAGTTACTAAGGATTAATTGTTAACTAGGTGATTCACCCGCACCCTGTGCGGGTATAAAATATAGTATAATACTGAGACAGGAGTATCTATTGAGTTCAAATGTGGGAGTTAGTGTAACAAGTGAGAGTTGCAATGCTGAAACAAGATTTGCGCAAATCTTTAGGATGCAGTAGGGGTGGGCAAATCGTTACTTTTTCGGTTTGGTTTGTTTAGTTCGGTTTTAATACATTTTTTTCAACTGAAATAAACCTTATTTAGTCTGGTTCGATGTGGTTTATGTCCAGTTCAATTTAAATTCAGTTCGGTTTGTTTTTGGATCGGTTTAATTAGGCTCTTTGTCGCTTAATTTTTTAAAAGAAAAATTATGTTTTAAAACATATACACATAAAGTATGTGAACTAAATTCAATATTAAATTGAAACAAAAACTAAAAAAGTCACAAAAAGTATATAAGAATAAAACAAATGAAATTTAACTAAAGTAAAAAAAAAAACATCATTAGCATGTTTTTAATAAAAGTCAACTATTAAAAAAACAAATGTAAGAATATACAGGAAAAAATGTGATAAAAATCTCATAGATATCACAATCCCATAGAAAATGTGATAAAAATTCAAATATAATTCATAAGTAATATAAAATAAGAAGAACAATTATGAATTAAAAAAATCCCATAGAAACGTGCAAAAAAATTGTCAATATTTTTAGCAATTGTACAATATAAATAAGTTAATAGATTTCTAAATTTTATCGAGACAAAAATAATATTGAATTTGCATATCGCTATTGAAACAAACTGAAAATGGTTTGTAGTCAACTACAAACGGTCTTTCATCTGTGTTAATTATCTGTTAATAGAAAAAACAAACAAATGTATATATATAGTAAATTACATTTTTAAGATCCATACATAAATATAATAAAGATAATAGTTTTGGCTTTTCTAAATCTCAAATCACCATTATATTTGTGGTTTTCTAAATGGATAATAGTTTTGCGCTTTTCTAACTCAAATCACCATTATCATATAAATTTGTGCAAGTAATTGATAGCAAAATAAAGTAATCATCATTTTTCTGAATTCACTAATTAGAAAATAAAGAACATACACATTTAATGCAATATCACATGTATATAGTTACTAATAAATGGCTTCATAAAAGAACAAGAAATTTACTTAATAGACATATATTTTCACGAAAATTTAACTTTTAAATTTGTCAATTAAATGTATATTTAAAAAATACTTCCTAAAAAGATTATTTCGTTTAGAATTATATATAATTAAAAATCAGAATATATCAAATTTAAAGAATAATTAAGAATTAATAATCTTATTTTATCATTAAGTCTTATGGTTCCTGAAATATTTGTTATAAAAATTCTTGTAAAGACATTTCTTGAGATATATAAATTCATATGGTTCTTGTAATATTTGTTTCCTTTTAATAAACATGAAGCAATTAAAGAAAGATATTAAAAATTGACTGTCATAAATTTGCAATAATTAACATACCATTTAAAACAAGTAACTGATGGAAAAATAAGGTAATCATTGTATCAACTTGCGCAAGTAATTGATAATAAAATAAGACAAGTTATTAATAAACGAATTAACTAATTATAAGGCTTTACCAACAAGGTATATCTTTCCTAATACCATAATATGGTTATAAAATTAAAGAATAATAAATAGTTTTGATTTTGATATATTGTAAATCTATAGAAATATATAATAATTATGTTTTGTCACTTATATTTAATATAGAAATTTGTATATAACCGATTTAATTCTAACATTAGTATTAGAAATATATACAAAAATGCTACACATATCATATTCTAACTCTGAATTATATACATAATTTATTATGTGATAAATTGTAAAAATTATATTATAATTGACATAGAACTATATAGTTTATGATGACAAAAAAAGATGAAAAAAGAACTATATAGTTTACATATATGAATTTATAGGATATACATTTTATAATATGATAAATTGTATAAAATCATATTTGAGTACAAAGTTGATAAAATGTATAAAAAGTTATACTAACTTTTATAATAAAATATTGATTAAAGATTTTTTTTCTTTAGTGTATAAGCAAATAATTATTTGAAAAACTTAGAGAAAGTAACAAAGCATGAAACTTACACTGTAGTTTACGTGTTTTGGATGATATGATCATTTGTAATGTTCATGTCTCTGAATAACATGAATGTCAAGAGAGATTTAAGTACATATGGATCCACAAGAGGAAACGTCGTCATAATCGTTGGTCTGCGCATATAAACTAAAATTGTAAATTAAAAACCCAATAGAAAATACATATGAAGGCATTATTCTCCTTCTAAGCTCTAACAAAAAATCATTAAATAGAAAGATAATACCTATGAATATATTTAAAAAGTAAGAATTAGAACACTAAAAGAAAACGTTGTCATAGCGACTAGGTATTACGACTACAGATGTGTAGTCGTAATTTTCCATCGCATTTACGACTACATTACGTCTAAAAACCATTAGTCGTAACTCAGAGGTTAACTTGCTACCAATAATAATAGACGTACATTAGTCGTAACATAACGACCAATATACGACTACCTGTCCGTGTAAACGTACTCTGGTCGTTAAATTATGACTAGTGTACGACCACACGTGTTTAGAATTTCGGTCAAGGCTTTAATGGTAGGTTGATGCTAATTGGTCGTAATGTACGACTCGATTACGACTAAATGATGGTACAAGATGCTAATTAGTCGTAAAAATTCGAAGCTAAGTAGTCGTAATGTCCCCTATAAAAGAACCATCGTTTTCTCCCAAAAGACAAACAAAAATTTTTTAAAATATTTTAGATATAGTGTTGAAAGATTTGAAAAAGAAGAGAGAAAGGTACTCGGATCAAAACTCCGAAGAGATCAATGCGAGACGAAGGTTGAAACGTTGGTTTCGCATAGAATCCACGGAATTATGATTCTAGTATCTTTCTTCTCTTCTTTTCCAAATATTTCTAAGCTAATATTTTGAAATATATTAATAAAGAGAGTTGATAATTGAGTCGAAGAGTTTAAAAATGTAAGCAAAAAAGAGAAAAAAGACACTGAGATCACAACTCCAAAAAGATTAATGCGGGACTAACATTGAAACGTTGGTTTCGCTTAGAATCTATGGACTTGTGATTCCAGTGTCTTTCTTCTCTCTTTTTTTTTTAAAATATATTACAAATGTAGTCCCTAATTGGTTGTAAAGGCCATTTGTCACTCATTGGTTGTAAATTTACGACTAATATACATCTAATATATTTTACCACCAATTAACTACTATTTGGTTGTAAATTGGTCGTAAAATTGCCACTCATTGGTTGTAAATTTACGACTAATATACATCTAATATATTTTACCACCAATTAACTACTATTTGGTTGTAAATTGGTCGTAAAAGTGCTACCAGATTACGACTAATTCTTTTGCATCCATTTTGCATATGTTTAACTACTAAGTTAACTACCTACCAAAATCGAAATTTCTCTATAAATATGATCTTCTTCCTCATTCTTAAAACGGGAAAAAAAACAGAAAACTTTTTTAAAAAATGTCTAGAAATATTTATGAGATCCGGAGTTGGATGTATGCACATAAAGATTCAAGAGGAATAGTAACTGATGAATTTCGCAACGGAGCAGAGATGTTCATGAACCAGGCCGGACAAATGTCTCTCACACAGGAAACGGGTAAAATGTTCTGTCCTTGTCGTAAATGCAACAATACGAAGTTTGCTGCTAGTGAAACGGTTTGGAAACATATAGTAAATAGAGGATTTACTCCACATTACTATATCTGGTATAACCACGGAGAAGGTGATAATAGGAATGAAGCTAGTAGTAGTAATCAGGTTGAAATAGTTCATAACNTAGAAAATGTAGAGGGGCCTAACTTGGATGCAAAAAGGTTTTACGAAATGCTAGCAGCAGCTAATGAGCCAATTTATGAAGGTTGTAGAGA